CCTCGCCAAGGTCCCGACTGAATCTCACTTTTATCTTCTGTGGCTGAGGGATAATAAGGAAATCTATCTCATTCATAGAAGGCCATTCAGGAAAGAATTGGATGAGCATTGAAGATTCTAGTGTATAATAAGAACTCAAGCCGGGCGGCGGTGGCGCACGCCTTTAATCCCAGCACTTGGGAGGCAGAGGCAGGCGGATCTCTGTGAGTTCGAGACCAGCCTGGTCTACAAGAGCTAGTTCCAGGACAGGCTCCAAAACCACAGAGAAACCCTGTCTCGAAAAACCAAAAAAAAAAAAACAGAACTCAATGAGAGGCTGCCAAGGTGGCTCAGCAGGTTGAGACATTTGCATGAAGGACTGACAGCCTGGTTTGGGCACAAGATCACACAACAAGGCAGAGAAGAACCAAGTCCTGAGAATTGTCCTTTGACCTCCACGTGCGTGCTTTATATTTTTAAAATACAACTCAATAGTGACTTAATAGATAGTTCACTGCTCTTGCAGAAGACAAAGGTTTGGTTCTGAAAACCTTTATCTGCTCACAACTTCTTAGAACTCCAGTTCCATATGATCCAATACCCTCTTTCCTCTGCGGGCTCCTGTACTCAGGCAAACACATTTACACAACAATGAAAATAAATAAATATTCCCTGAAAAAGGAAGAGAAGAAATAATATACTAATGAATAATAATCATAAAATACATATTGGGGGCTGGGGAGGTGGCCCAGCAGTTAAGAGCCTGTATTGCTCTAGCAGAGGACCAGAATTCAGCTTCCAGCCCCTATCCTAGGAGGCTCACAAATGGCTGTGTTTCCAGCTATAGATCTGATTCCCCCTTCTGGCCTCCTTGGGCACAGCTCTCATGCACAGACCCAAATGCATACATGTAATTTAGAAAAATAAAGAGAAATACATCTTCTAAAAATCAATTAATGAAAAAAGAAGATATGAATTTGAAAAAAAGCAAGAAAGGGTAATGGGGAGATTCAGAGGGAGGAAAGGGGAGGCGAAAGTGATATAATCTCAAAGGTAAAAGAAAGAATGTTTTTAAAATCAAATAAACAATGAAGAGTAATTCATCCCCCCCCCCTTTTTAAATTGATTTTTATTGAGCGCTACATTTTTCTCTGCTCCCCTCCGGGTCTCTCCCCTCCAATCCTCCCCCAAGGTCCCCATGCTCCCAATTTACTCAGGAGATCTTGTCTTTTTTCATTCCCCTTTTACATATTAATAAGAACTTTAAACTCCGCAGAGCTGATGCCCTCACTGTTAACAAATCAGAAAACAAACCACAGGGTCCCATGTTCAACAAAACCTTTGTATTCTTCCTTGGGTTTTCAGGAAGACTCACATTTTCTGTACATTGTCACAGATGGATTGAGCCACAGGACAGTGCTGGCCAATGAACAGTGGTGGGATTACACCATAAAACACGGCATGAGGTAGCATCACACCATTTGAGGTTCTGCCCTCACTGCGCCCTCTACAGCAGGGATGGTAGACTGGAGACAGGGGTTTCACCAAGTATACTCGAGATCACATGGGGCAAAGTCCCTCTGGGGACACATGGAGTTGTGACACAAGCAAGAAATAAGCTTTCATAGCACCAAACAGCAGAGGTTGGAAGGTGAGGGGGAAGTTTTTGTTTAGTGTTACTGCGTCATCGCAGGACCTTCACTTTGAGGAAAGAGTACGCCTTGTCAATAGTAATATTTTAAAAGGTTTAAAAATGCAGCTGTTGCTCGAACATCTGGATTGACTACTGTGTCTATACTGATCTCATTTCCTCCTTCTCCTGCTCTCCTTGCCGTTCCAGGCCCAAGCACAAACACTCCATAGTATACCCTCTTCTGGCTGCTGCTTTGTGAAATTCTCAACATGGTTTGAAATTGTTCCCGTTATATATTCTTTTCTTATATAATGTATCCTAATGATGGTTTCTCCTCCCTCTACTCCTCCCAGTTCCTCCCCACCTGTCCTCCCATCTGGGTCCACCCCCTTTCTGTCTCTTATTAGAAAAGAAACAGGCTTCTGGGGTATAATAATAAAACATAACAAACTAAAATATAAGATAAAACAAAACCTACATGAGAGTTGGACAAGACAAAAAAAAAAAAACAGAAGGAAAAGAGACCAAGAGAAGGCACAAGAAACAGACTTGCTCATTCACAAACTTGAGATGCCCATGAAAACACCAAACTGGAGTTTACAATACATACACAGGAAAGGACCTGGTGAGGCCCGTGCAGGCCCTGTGCATGCTGCCTCAGTCTCTGTGAGCTCATATGGGTTTTAATCCTATTGATTCCTAGGCCTTTGTTAGCTTGGTGTCCCCTATCTCCTCCGGCTCTTACACCCTGCTTCTGCTTCTCAGTATTCCCTGAACCCTGAGGAAAGGGATACCATGGAGACCTCTCATTCAGGATTGAGTGTTCCACAGTCTCTCTCTTTACACAGTAATCCGCCTGTGGGTCTCTATATGTGTTCCCACCTGCTGGAGGAAGATGGCTGAGGGGGTATAAAAAATTTACATTCTTTATCCTGTTCCACAGGGAATGGAAGACACCAAGAAAACAAGGCCCTCTAAATCAACATAGTCTGTGCACATAGGAACTTGCAGAGACTGAGGCAGAGTGCACAGCACCTGCACAGGTCTGCACCCAGGTGGAATCCTGGAGCTGAAAAAGAAGGGGGGGCACACATACCATTCCTAACCCAAGGCTAGCTCAAATTGAGAACCACTTGCAAATGAAAATCTAGTTTTATCCAAGGGAGTCTCATTGGGAAACAAACCACTCTTAAGTGTAGGCTGCATACCCACGGTAGATGGCCAGTTGGAAACTAATTCATTGGCATTTTTGGAGGTCCCTTGTGTCACAAGGCTTTTCATATTTCTTTAACTTTATCTTATTATTTTTTTAATTTTATTTTTTATTTTCCTTCTCTCATTTTGCCCTTCAGGTCTGTGTGTGTGTGTGTGTGTGTGTGTGTGTGTGTGTGTGTGTGTGTGTGTGTGTTATGGCTTCCAATTTACTTATGGGATTTCTGAGTGCGTGAAAGGGTGGTTCTTGGATTCTCGTGCCTTCTTTTGGTCTCTTTCCCTTCTGCTTGTTTGTCAGTCTAATTTCAGTGTTTTGGCTTTTATCTTATTTTATTATTATCCCTTAGAAACCTGTTTGTTTTCTAATGAGAGAGAGAAAGGGAGTGGATCCAGCTGGGAGGAGAAGACTGAAGGAATTGGAAGTAGCAGAGAGAGAGAAAATCACAATCAAAGTTAAATATAACAAAACTTTTTCCTACTATTTTGTAGTGCTGGAAATCATGTTTAGGACTTTGCGTGTGCCGCATGACTATTCCATCACTGCGCTATACTGTCGGCCCAGCCCCATTTTAAGTTTTAAACACAGTATGCGTTGACATTTTTGATTCTTGCGGTAATGAATTTCATACACTAGTGAAACTCTTTCTTCTCTCTGGCCTACTCCTTGTTACCTCCTATTGCAGATTAGAGATGGAGTCCCTTACAAAGGGACTGGTGACAGTTTAGTCCCCAAATAGCGCTGCTGAGAGGTGATTGGATCACCAGGGGCCTCACATCATCAATAGTTCATATGAGAATAAAATGAGCTATTAGGAGGGTGGCCTGGTTAGAGGAAGGAGCTCACCGTATAGTGTACTGAGGTCATCTAGATGGCCAATAGGAACCTAACTCAGCAGCATCAGTGGAGGCCCCTTGAGGGGCTTTTATTTGTTTTTGTTTGTTTGTTTTTGTTATTTCTATTTTTGAATATTATCTTAGTTTCCATTTTTCTTTTATTACTTTTTCTTCCTTTTTACCCTAAAGATCCTTTACATATATATTACAGCTTCCAGTTTAGTGTTCTTTATGGAACTGTGCAAACAAGTAGGTCTCTGCATCCATAACTGTTTTGTGTGCCTTTCTCTGCTCTCATTTCCTTCTGTTTGTTTGTTTATTTGTTTTATCATATTTTGATGTGTTAGATTTTGTTTTACATTACTATATATGAGGGAAAAGCTATTTTCAATAAAATGGAAAAAAGAATAAGCATAAAATAAGCATAAAAGGAAAAGAAATACTCCCGACCACTGAACACTTTTTCCTAGGTTCTATGCTTTTAGAGAAGTTGACACAAATCACCAAGATGGGCAAATGGAGAATTACCAAATCGTGCAATTCGGCTGGTTCCCTCAACGTAAGGTACCTTTATTTTCATCCTGTGAGAACTGCACAATATTGCTGCCTCTTTAGCTGTAAAATAAACAATGCCAACAAAACAACAATGGTTCCGAATATTGGTGCAATATATTTTCTTTATTTAAAAAAAATGTACTCGGACAGCAGCTGTGGCTTCAAAAGAAAATAATCTTCAACGAACAAAGTTGAAAAGTGCTAATCCATCCTTTCCCAGTACAGTCAACAAACTGCTCTCCAGTTCGGCACACAGCTGGGACAAAACCAAGGAGTCAAAGGCTAAAGCATCTTCTGAATGTTCTCATAGAGAGTACTTACAAGTGCTATATACAGGTTGACTTGACAGAGGATTCTTTTAGAAGCTTCCCAGATAAATGGTCCAGATGCTAACCATCTACAAGAATAAGTGGTTGGTGGTTTCGAGGGCATGTTCACAGTAATTAATGCATCCATAAGCTCTATTAATATCACAATGAAGAGGCAGCTTAGGGGACGATGCACCTTCCCATGGCTGAGGACATGCTTTTCATCTTGGACCACTTTAATCATCTATAAAGACTAAAGAGTGGACACTTCACATGCTATGTACTTGTGATTAAACTTCAATATCAACGCTGCAGTCAACACTGACCATATATTTTCTCAAACTTAAGAACAAATGCAAAGAATACACTACAAGGGGTTTTTTTTTTTCAGCATTTCAAAGAGTATATTGAAGCTGGCCACTTATTTCTGAAGCCCTGAAGGACAGGTGCGGGGTTTCTCGGCCTCAGAACTCAGGTGTCTATTTCTCGTCACAGTCCCCATCATTACTGTGACTCTCTCCATCCATAACATGGGCACTAGTAAATCTGGAACTGCTCTGTTTGAGAGAACAACAACATTTTTGAGGTGTGTACGTCTGCTAATGTCAGGCTGTCTTCAACAGCTCCCCAGTACTATTCACAGATGCAGAATGCTGGAGCTCAGTGGTTCTCAATCCTCCTAAAGTCGCAACCCTTTAACCCACTTCCTCGTGTTGTGGTGACCCCAGCCAGAAAATTATTTCACTACTGCTTCATGGCTGTAATTTTGTCACTGTTATGAATTGTGATGTAGACATCTAATGTGCAAAATATCTGGTATGTGACCCCACAGGGTTACGACTCATAGGTTAAGAACCACTGTTGCGAATGGTCCACAACCCCAACCCATACTCCCTGAAGCCAGCCTTGGACTTGTATGGATTTACCCGTATTTGAGCAATGATCCCTGGAACATAAATGTTTAATGCTTACCTTGGGGCACCTCAGGTAGATGCTAAAGATGAAGCCCAATGGGAATGGGAGAGCTTCAAGAATAGAATCTGAACCTAGCTGAACTTAAAACCAGAATGAACTATGGTGTTGTGCCTCTCTGAAAAATGAGTAAAGACATTCTGCTGCTTTTGAGGTAAATTCAAGGACCACAAGAATATAGCCTATGTGCAGAAAACCTCAGCTATAATGCAATTATTACCACATATCGTTACCAAACACTTAGATGGGAGATGGACCTGTTGTACCCAAGGATACACATGAGGATGTAAAGATACATATATACATGCATGTATTTAAATAGATGAAGGGTGATAGGTAGATGGATGAATATAGATAGACAAATAGATTGTTTCCTTCAATTCTCACATATCTTATGTATCTATGACAGCATTAGCTTATCATTTCACACTTTAGACAATGCAGTACATGTCAAGAAAACCTCACCCCTAAAAAGACTGAAATAAAATAACCTTGGAGTAGTGGAATTACGCCTCCAATGTAATCCATGTTGTAGATGCTAAACCAGCCCTTCTCTGTGCCACACTCACCAGACAGAAGCATAAACATCACCAAGCCCAGGTCCAAATGAAATTCATCTGTTCCATTCACCCCTCCCTTAGCCTCCCACAGAGAGAGAACCATAGACAGCAAGCATACAGGGTTCTGGATCCATTCCACAACTTCTCTTGCTGTTTGCCTAACCCCACGTCCTTGACTTTCTATACTCCAATAGTAGGACTTTTCTTTTGACATCTTTACTTTCCTCATAGATACCTGTTAGATACACTCTGCTGATAAGAGCTAACATATGATTGATGGACCATCATACAGCTTTCTTTGTCAAGCTTGATTAAGGAAATGGGAATGTTACGGGAAGAAGTCTAGTTAGCATCTAGGATCCTGCAAATGTGTTTGTTCTAGAAATATCTTGCAAATATGCTTTTCTTAACACCTTCTGGTGACCTCTCTTAAACTCTACCCCTAAACCTTCAATCTGGATTCTCCTATCCTGGTTCAATCCACTTTGGGTTGTCTTTAAGAGTGAAATGTCTGAAGTGTTTTGGGGATTCCCTGATTTTGTCTGATGTTTTGCCTCTTTAAAGTGTTTTGCTTATCCATGAGTTAAGGTATTCCTTAGACAGATGGATACACATCATTCTTTTCATACCAAGATAATAATGAAGAAGAGTGATGGATTATTTTTACATGAGTAGTATTGTTCCATTGTGCCAATAAAATTGTATTATTAAGAAAATGTTTAAAAATTCTCCCTGATAGTTTTAAGTATCTTTAGCCTCTTTAGAGTGAACTAACACATGTCTGTAATTGGTTTCTTTTTGATATTATAACAACCATAATTATAGAAAAAATAGTTTTCCATCAAAAATTCAATTTGTCACTCAAAATATTTGTAATCTTTATATATTTTATTCTGTTGTGGAATACTACTTTAACTAGGAGAAGATGTTTACTTTTGTTTATGCTGCAAAATAATACTTAAACTATGTAGAGATGTGTTACATTTGTTTATGCTGTATTTGTTTAATTATATAAAGATGTATTGTTGTTTCACCTTGCCTGCCTAAGGCTCCTGGTTGGTCTGATAAAAAGCTGAATGGGCAGAGAGAATAAGTAAGAGGAGGAGTTTATTCTCTAGAGACTGAGAGGAGAATATGAGGAATGAAAACAGGGAGACAACCGGGGCCAGTCAAGCAGCCAATAGCCAGTCACACATGGAGTAGGACATACAGAATGAAAGAAAGGTAAATAACCCCAAGGCAAATCATAGATGAAGAGGAACAGATCAATTTAAGTTATAAGAGCTATTAAGACTGGCATAAGGTAAGGCCGAGTATTCATAATTAATAATAAGTCTCCGTGTCATGATTTGGGGGCTAGCAGTTCAAGAAAAAAACCTGCATTACTCTGGAGTAAATTAGTGGTGATGCTGAATTTGAACATTTAGCACTTCTCAAATCACAAATTTATCCAGAATAATACGGTGATAACGCAGGAAACTTATGAGATAGAGAACTACAGAGTTCATCTCCAAATCAGAGAGAACACCTCCCCTCTCCACCTCACGGTTGGCTTCTCCTTTCAATCTCCCCCCAACAAACTGTAACCTGCATCCTTACACATCCTGGTCTCAACTCAGTGGCCCCAATCTTCCAGTCATGCATTTCCCTTTGGATCAGAAAGAGGATATATTCCCTCTTCCTCTTTTTAGAATTTATTTATGGGAGGAGAAGCTATGGGGAGGGGGCTATATGTGTGAGTGTGGTGTATTAGTATAGCGTTTGTGCGAATGGTGTATGGAGGTTGGTTGCGCACCTCACACCTCTGCATTTGCTCTTGAAAACCAGAGAAGGAATCAGAAGTCTTACCGTATCACTCTTTGCCATTTGAGAGCGGCTCCCCCTTGAACCTAGAGCTAAGCTGGTAGCTATCAAGCCCAACTATCCTCCTGAACACCCCCCCCCAGTACTGGGGTTACAGGTGTGCCTGGATTTTTATAGGTGTTTTATAGGTGTTGGGGATTCTAACTCAAACCCTTATACACGGGCTTCAAAAGCCTTACTGACCAACCCAATTCCTCAGCCCTTTGTCTTCTTAACTATGACGCTGTCACTGCCAACTTTTTCTATCTCTTTACTAAATCCATCTGATGCAAAGATCCACAGTCAAGCACCAGTTGAGCTCCAATACTCTGGTCAAAGAGAGGGAGGAAGGATGCTATGAGCAGAAAGGGGTGGGGTAGGCAGTGTCAAGATCATGATGGGGAAAGCCAGAGAAAGCTGACCCGAGCTCATGGGACTCTTGACAGACAGCTAGGGAACCTGCATGTGACAGACCTAGGCCCTCTGCATGTGGGTGACAGTTGTGTAACTTGGTTTATTTGTGAGGCCCTAGCAGTGGGACCAGGATCTGTCCCAGGCCTATTAGCTGGCTTTTTGAAACCCATTCCCTATGGCGGGATGCATTGCTCAACCTGGATGCAAGGCAGGAGGAACTTGGTCCTACCTCAATGATATGCCAGGCTTCTGCCTCCCCATAGGAGGCCTTACACTTCCTGAGAGTGGACTGGGGAGAGAGCCAATAGAAAAGAAGTTGGGGGAGGAAATGGAAAGAGGACGAAGGGGAAATGGTGGTTGGTATGTAAAATAAAAAATTTGAAATAAAAAATGGGAAAAAATCCATCTGAAGTAGCCCTTGGCATATTCCCCACTTATGCTTTACTCTAAGGTTCCCTCAGTAACATTACTGTAGAACAACAGCCATTGGTGGGGGAATATTTTATGAAACATCTGTTAGCTTCCAGGAGTTCTAGAAGGAAAGCCAGGCCTCGTGGTGTCCTCTCCAGCTCTATTGCTGTCTTGCTGTGCTATTCGTAAGTCGAAGGAGACGGTCCATATGTTAAATTATTTGATCAACAAAAAAAATAATTTAAGGGCTATATCCCAGTTTTCAAATAAGCACACTAAGGCTCACAGCATTATTCTCCTAAGAACTCACTATAGAAGCATAAGAAGCAACTCCCTGACACTGGAGAGCTGACAGCAATATCAGTGCTGCCTGCTGAATTTTGGTGGCACTGTCTTTTTAACAGCAGGCTATAAGTTTACACCCCTCGTAATTATGAAAGTAGATATAATAAGTAAGGAGATCAAGATGCTTCACTCTCTAGCTTTCCTTTTTATCTACCTAGAGACAGTCCCTTTTAATCACCTGCAATGAATGATTGCTTATTACATAATTTTATGGCCCAGATACATGCAACACTAAAGCTAACTGAATTATCCTTGGTAATTATAGCATGTGAAAAAAAAATCACATTTGCTTCCCTTGACCTACTTGAATGAACTGATAGTGCTCATTCTTAGCAGTCGTCTAGCCAAATGTTCCTTATCTCCATGCAAGTGTAGAGCAGCCAGAATAAAAGTCCTGTTTGTGCAAAAGCTCTGCTAAATGTTGGTGCTTAAGTCTCTGTGACCATTATACAACTAACTGTCCTGCTTCCCTTGATGCATTGAACAGAACTGTATAGTATAAGCGTTTGCATAAGTTTGTACTCATTAGATAAAATAACTAACATGTTATCTAGGAGGCAACACTTTGACCTTGAAGAGAGAATGATATGGGTGAGATGTCTCTTCCATGATTCTATTCTGGGCTCTTCATAAACATTATGGGTAAGTTTACTAATGAACCACTGGCAAATTCTGCAGAGGCTATGCCATGATGAGACAAGGACCAGAGTTTACAGAGCACGGCAGGGGTAGGCATCCCAGTGAGCATCAGCGGGTCTCCATAGCCCGGATGAGTAAACAGATGCTATGACCATTCCTACCTCAGCCCCAGGTTTCCTTAAATGCTAATGAAAGCTTGAACTCCTGCCTCTAAAAGATTCTGAGGAAAGCATTCCCAGGAGAACATTTACATCTGTCCAGTGGATCTGGGTAAAGGTGACATCCCCATGTTCTATCCCTCAGCCTTCCCAGTTATATCAACTAGAACAATACAGGTCTGGGGATGCATTCTATTTGTGAAAGCAATATTTACC